TCCATTCCTGGAGGGAAAAAGTTATGGTTATTCCGTCTGGGCAGAAAGAACCCAGTTTGAAGTGGATATATGTCAAGGCTAAAACATTTCCCAGACTCCCTTGCAGCTATGAGTCATGTGACAGTTCTGACCAATGAGATGTAAGCAGGGGATATTGGATGGGGCATCCACAATGCTCCTTAAAAGGAAGATGGGCTGAGATGGCCACAACCCTCAAGGAGAAGGGTCTCCTTGACTGGATGGGGCTCTGGTAGTCATCTATAGGTCATAATATGGCCATGAAGAAAAGCCAGGAAACTCCCAAATTAATTCTCACTATGTGAGAGAAATAAATTATCTCCAATTCTGGGGAAAATAAATTATCCCCAAATTATCCTCCAATTCTCCACTCCTAGTCAATGCTTTCCCCAGGAAGCTACTCATGACTATCAAATCTAAGTATGTTAAACCTGGACACAGACACAGACACACACACACACACGCACACGATCAGGACAAAAAGATAAATGGGGAGACTGAGGCCTGGTGAGGACAATTCCTGATAGTTTTCTTGCCTTCTCAGCCCAAGGTGTAGCTGGGACTGGCTATAAGACTCCTCTTTCTAAGGCAGGCACTCATTTTTCACAGATTCCACCGTTTAATCTACAGTGGAACCAGTCAAGCTGCTTGTTCCATTTCCAGTCAGTTTTTTGGGCACTGGCTGGTCAGGGGACTGATCAGCCATATTGGCCAGGAGTGTTTTCTCTACCCACTCAAGGTTAAAAGACTTTCTCCAGGTTTTGTAATAGTTTGTACTTTATTACATATGTAATCCTGCCATACCTGCCAGTTGATCCCCCCTCCCTCCACAGTATCACCTTCTTGATATCAGCCCCTCTCTTGGGGCCACTGAGCTGGTTCCGCTTTCCTTCTAGGGCAGAGTAGATAGAGTCCCTAGAGCAGGCAGTGGGCAGGGGCAGATCAACAAGTCACCATCACAGTCCTCTTACAGGTATTTACAGTTAAATCATATCCATTAGTGAGTTGTAAAGGGTTTTCAGAATGGGATAGAGGCTGCCCCTCATCCAAGGTACAGGTTGGAATGAACTAAGGCTGGTCTATCTTGGGTCTCAAGATGAGAGGAGAAGCATGTTCTGGGAGTTAGTGTGAGTGGGGCATGTCCTCCCCAAACTTGTTTTGGTGGGCGACGTTCTTCACATCTAGGAGAGCCTGAGGAGGAGGAGGCAAGATACAGTAGGTAAGAGAGAGTGAGGACCTCCTCTACCTCAGCCAGTAGGCTGCCCCTACTCCGGCCCTCAACCATCCTGTCTCTTGGACTATCCCACATGCAGAAGGGCCTCCATTCTCCCCTTATCCAATCACAGAGGTATGTGGGAGGAGTGAGTATGAGCACATTAGAGGGTCTGCCTAGGGCCTACCTGATGGTGGACATAGGCCTGACATTGGTAACACCAGGTAGAAAGGTCGACATAGCTGAGGACCATTGGGTGTCCTGAGACTTCGTAGTGCTGTAGCATATGGGCACTGATGTAACGACCACAGTAGACCTGAGGTTGGAGAGTGAGTATCAGGGCAGGGATCAGCACTCACCTGTGGTTTGTTCCGGGGTCAACTTCTGCCCCATCCCCTTCCTCTGTTGCATACCTCATAGCAAGACAGACACACCCAGTTCTCCTGGAGTGCTCCACAGTCCTGGCAAGGCTGGGTCACGTCCAGGCCTGCTTCAGGAATGGGGCATACTGCCACCAAATGGGGACACCAAGGCAGTGGTGTCACAGCATAAAACATGACCTGGGTGGGTGAAACTGAGTAAGCTAGGGACTTATCTATCCATTACATGCTCCTACAACACATGCTACCTGGAAGAACAAATGGGCAAGAGAAGAAAGCCATAGTCCCATCCACTCCCTGAGCTCACCTGGTCAGTGTTCCCAAAGGCCTGCATCAGCACTGAATTATCCACGTCCTGACCTCCAGCTGCTTCTCCAAGTAGCCTCTCCTCTTCTGGGATCTGAGACTCTGGGGCCTCCTGGACACACAGAGGCAAGAGATGTATCCGAGAGGCCTGATTCTTGCCCTCTCTTCCTACTATGTGGGTGTGCTGGTGGGTCTTACCTGAGCCTTGTTGTCTAGTTCCAAGGTCCTGAGATTCCCAATCAGCTTACTTAGGGATATCTGGGCTGTGGCTCCTTGCACAGGTGAGGCTGGAGGGGTTTGGATCAGCTTGGCAATTTCCGCAGCCTCCTCTGAGGTGGTCTGGCCCAGCATGGCTGCCTCTGAGGTGGTCTGGTCTGGCGTGGCTGCCTCTGAGGTGGTCTTGTCCAGCATGGGTTCCCCCTTGGCTGCCTCTGAGGGCTGGTCCTGAGTGCGCTCTACCACATCCGTCTGTGACTTAGTCTGGGCTGGAGTAGACTCTTGAACAGATGATGCTGAGGTGTCCTTTTCTGTGCTTGCATCCAGAATGTTCCCTTCTAGTGTGGTCAGCCTCTCAGCTGACTCAGGATTTGCTGGTTGGGGTGCCTCCTTGGTCAACTTAGAACTGGAGGGTCCCTCCTTGTCTTCGAATTCTGGAACCATGGGAGGGAGATCCTTGAGTGTGGGTGCTAACCCCTCTCCTGCCTCTAATCCCCACCCTCCCCTGAGCCCCCCATTGTCCCGAATTCACCACACCCACTCACTTGTGACCCGTAAGCTGCGCCAGTATTTGCGATGGATTTGGATGGTCTTAGCAATCGAGGCCAGGGCCCCGGATAGTGGGGGCCGTGGCAGGGTCAGCAGGGGTGGCGGGTCCCCAAGGAGGGTACGGGTGCAGGCAGCCATGGACTCTGAGATGGATGTCAGGTTATAGCCACCCTTTTTAAGGAAAAAGAGGAGGTGTGTCCTCAGGGAATTTGGGAAGCAAGATATCCTGCCTCCTAATCCTAATTTGGGGCCCTGCAAGTCTAGAGGGTGGGGACTGGGGACAAGTGAGTAGAACCCACATCTGTCAGATGGGGCAGCACCCATTGTGTGAAGCGGTTGTTGAGGAGGACAAATTGTGATGTAAAGTGCAAGATAATAATAACCACAATAACAATACTGATAGTAACAGTAATAGCTGTTGTTCATTAAGTGCTTGCTGCATGCTAGGCCTATTCTAAGGACCTTATGCATATTAATTCATTTAATCCTCAAACCACACGTGCTCAATCTGTACAGGAACCTGTATTCACAGTATGAGAACCCCTGGCTGCACCCACACAAAAACACCTGCCCCAATTTGATACAGAAACTGGTTTTTCTCTCTACATGAACCTCTGTCCTGACCTGGTATGAGAACCTCCTTTTCTCACACTCTATAGGAACTCCAGTCTCTGCTCTTTTTACAGATAAAGAAACTGAGGCTCAGAGTGGTTAAATGACTTGTCTGGGGTCATAAGAGCTGGGAAGAGGCAGCGCTGGGCTTGGAACCTGGGCTATCTGATGAAAGAGTCCATATTCTTAACCACCACCGTGCCCTGCCACAAGCAGTCTGGGCACATTGTGGGACTTTTTACCAGCCAATTAATATCTCTATGACTTACTGTCTTCATCTGTAAGGTAGTGAAAATTAGCGCATAAGATTGCTGAGAGGGTTAAATTCGTGCATGAAGAATGCATAATAGTAATAAGCTACAGCACTTCTACAGCACTCTTCCATGACCCATCTTACAGATGAGGAAACTGAGGCCCGGGGGCAGGGGCACAGAGTAATTTACAAAAGGTCAGTGAATTTATTTTGTCTTGGGAACTTGTTAGAGGCAGATTGCGTAGTGGTAAAAAGCATAGACTCTGGAGCCAGGCTGCCTGAATGCAAGCCCTGGCACTGCTATTATTAAATGTGTGGCCTTGGCCTAGTCGCTACACCTCTCTGTACCTCAGTTTCCCTGATCTTGAGAGAGGAAAATTATGAGGTCAGCAGACCCCACCTCAGAAGGATGCTTTGTCAATGAATTAATAATACATATAAAGTGTCAAGAAGAGTGTCTTACACATGAGCGCTCAATGAAAGTTGTTAATGCTGTTATTAATGCCCAGTATGTGTCAACAATCCCAGGTGGGACACTCAAAGGAGATTTTAGAAAATTGCCCTGAGTGTTGCAGCCAGCCAGCAGAAAGGGTAGGACACCAAGTCTTCCAAACCACCCCCACCATGGGAAGAGGGACTGAGAGAGTTACCTCTAGGATTAGGATAATGCGGCCACTGGCAAGGCCCATCAGCAGGTGGGTGAGATGGGCATAGCCCTCAGGTGATACCTGGCAGCCCCCCAACGGGTCCCCCCGTGCTGCATCAAAGCCAGCTGAGACTAGCACCAGTTCTGGATTAAACTGAGGCAGAGAAATAAGAAATGCATGGACATGAGGGGCTTGGGTAGGCAGTAAGTGAGGTAGACCTAGAGACATTGAAATAAGGACAAAGGAAGACATGAAGATGCAAGTCAGAGAGATGAAGACATGACACCTGAAGGCTGGGAGACACAGACCAGAGCCCTGAAACTACAAAGGGGCTGATGTGTAGACACAAGACAGAGAGACATGGAGAAAGATCCACAGAGACATGGATACATCACACACAGACTTAGAGACATGAGACACTAGAAACTGATGGACGGGTACATGAGGTAGAGTCCTGAGATATGGAGATTCAGCTGTTAAGAGACAGTGACATGAGACACAGAGAGACAGAGATATGTCCTCACACACATGCCTGAGGGTGAGATCAAGAGACACACATTCCCCTTCCTGGGTCAATCATGGGACACACATGTACAAGACACATGGTTTTACACACATAGTGCCAAAGAGAGGTGCATATATGCTTCTATCATAAAAAAATGACAATGCAAGTACCACACACGGAAGATGGTCACATATAGTCATACATACCCACAATCAGTCCCATAAAGACCAGACATACATTGTAGAAGTCATACACATACAGTTTCTCACAGAGGGGACAGTAATCCATAGTCACCCCTGCACAGACACAATCATACACATACCATCACCACAGTCACAAAAGCCACACAACACTGTTGTGCCCACAGGAAGTGGTTACTTACACACAGTCACACACATGATTTCACAGTTACACACACACAGAAGGTAGTCACAACCACAGTGCATCGTCAGACACACATGCACGTCTGCAGAGGTCACAGAGATGGCGCTTTATCTGCACTTGGAGTTAGTCACACATATACAATCTGCCACAGACACACAGTTTACACATGGAGAATGCAGTTACCTACGGCCACTCATGCGGTCAGGCAAATGTATATATGCCACCCCCATTCAGAAAGACACACACAAACAGCCACAGCAGACAGAGATGAGTGTGACACAGCCTCCCAAATACAGAAAGTCACACGTTGGCTATCAGAGAGAGCACCTGTCACACAGAGAAATGGTAGTAGAAATGGTAGAAATAGCCACGTGTACAGAGTTTAACACATATACTCAAATCCCTCCCCCGCTTGCACATGCAGTTCCACAGAGACAGCAGTCACACAGGGCTACCGTCACACACAGATAGGCACTGGTGATGGTGTACACTCAGGACATGTACACAGCCAGGCATACACAGACCACCGCTGCACACCCAGAAGTTCCTCACAGTTGCAGAGAAGGCAGTCACATATAGCCACTGTGCGCAGTCAGACATATGCAAAGGCCATCACGGAATCACCCCACACTGTCCCCATGACTGTCTCACAGGATCAGTCACCCAGAAGTCAGACACATGCGTACCTGCTTCCACGCACACAGTTGTGTCACATACATCCTAAAGCATACCTCGTAGGCAATGGGAAGCACCACACGATGCCAAGCAGCCAGGTACTCAGCGTCACCCATGCGGGGCCCATTCCAGGCCACATTGACAGTGAAGCCCATGCCCGCGGCCCAGCCCACCTGGTTGCTGGCACCCTCATCCCCCATGGGAAAGAAGGTGCCATGATCATAGCGGTGCAGGGAAATGTAGAGTATGCTGCCAGAGACAGGGTGGGAAGGAGGGCCATGGCTGTTTAGCAGCCTGGCACCTCTGAGGCGTGGCCCGCCCACCTCCCTGGCCACACCTCAACCCCTGCTTCAGCCCCTCACCTGGGATCCTCCTCAAATATATGCTGAGTTCCATTACCGTGATGGACGTCCCAATCCACGATCAAAATCCTGAGGAGGGACAGATTCTTAGTTACCTAGGACATTCAGCCCCTGAGAGAGGGCAGGGACTAGACCCCTGGGGTATATCTGCAGGGACATTTATTGTGGATGGCAGGATCCTGGGTCCCTAAGGAAAGTGCTTGTGGGTCCTATCACAGAAAAGATGACAGGACAGCTGAGCCTGGGTCCTGAACAAGTGCTCAGGGCCAGACTCTGGGCCCTGTGTGAGTAAGGACTCTGGGTTCTGTTGGGATAGTTATCAGGGGCCAGAAATGCTATGGGGGGGGGACCCTGGATCCTGTTTTATAAGCACCACAATCTTGGGGTCCTCTCTGAGTAAGCACTGAGAAGTTTGGTCCTTGATTCTTTTCTAGGGAAGTGCTGGGTAACTAGACCCTGGGTGTTTCTGGGTAAGTCCCGCCGGGGCTGCACCACAGGGCCTGCGGGTAAGCACTGGGCTTGCAGGGGGGGGGGCGTCCCAGGGAGCCCTCACCGCAGAGCATGCCCACTGATGACCTGGGCATGGCGAGCAGCCACAGCTACAGAGTTGAAAAAGCAGAAACCACAGGCAGCATCCTGTTCTGCATGGTGTCCCGGAGGACGCACCACAGCAACACCATTCAAAACCTGGGGGAGGAGCAGGGAGCCAAGATCAGACAGACTGCTGCCCTCATGGTTTTTCCTTCCCTTGTCCCCTTGCTTCTCCTCTTCCCTCTCTCCCACTACTAGCTGCTAGGGGCACCCAGCTCCATATTCTCATACCCCTGGCCACACTTCCCAGTGAGCAAGGCCTCTGGTGAACAGGGGTCTCTTCCCCATCCCACTTTTCTCAGGCCCTGCCCAACTCTCTCCAAGCTACCTCTCTCCATCCCCTAGGACCACCTCTCGAGCTGGAACCCCACTCCAAAGCAGATGCACCTCTCCTGCCAGCACAGCCTCCACAAGGCAGCATGTGGAGCCGGCAGCCAGCTTCGCACAGGCGAAGGTGCTGGGGCATATGTAGATGGAGTCAAAGTTGGCACCCTCGCGGTGCAGCTCCCGGGGTTTCATCTTCTCTGTGGCCCGCAGACGACCCACATACTCAGCACTGGAGGCAAAGAGGGAACACCAGGTACAAGTGGTTCTATCCCCTTCATGGCCCCTCCCATGTCCCCCAGCAGCTCTATGTACCCGGGCTCCAGCTCCCAGTTAGCATGTGTGCACTGAGACCCCAAACCACTCCGGGCATGAGGGTCTGACCTGTGGCAGGTGAGCAGCTCAGCGTCTGTGGCAGGACGTGCAGGCAGGATGAGGCAGCGCCTAGAAAGGCCCAGCTCCTCCAGACGGCACATGATCTGTGAGATGCGCTGGGGCATCTCGGGGTGGTGGCTGGGAGATGGGGAACACATACAGGGCTTAGTGCTTGAGGAGGGAGACAGACCCCTGCCCACTCAGCCTGGCCCTCCAACCACATACTTATCCCACAAGTTGTAGTGACCCATCATCTGTTGGTCGTAGACCAGCCCTGTGCGAGCCTGCAGCACTGGCCACGTCAGGATTGGGAGCTCAGGGGGCTGCCATGGTTCCTCCTCCTCCTCTTCCTCCTCTTCTGCATTGTCCCTCTCCACGTTGTCCTCCTCCCGGGTCTCACCTGGAAGGGGAGGCCACATTCACCCTACTCCCCTATCCTGGATCACTATAATACTCTGGAACTCAGTTTACCCAAATGCGAAAAGGGTTGAGAGGCCTGAAATCAAGACCCAGTGAGAGAGAGGGCCTGACCCTCCCTGAGCAGCCCAGGAAAGTCAGAGTGGGGTCTGGAAGAGTCTCTCTCATGGCTCATTCTATTCCTGACCCCCAACTAAGCCCACTCCCTGTCTCCTACCTGATCTCACAAGGACTTCCCAGAAGGGCTCCAGGGCTTCCAGAGCGCAGGACAGTGAAGACTGGGCACTGAAGGACAGGGGATGGGAAAGTGTGACCAAATGCCCCAGGATGGGCAGTGAGGGTCTCATTTTTCCCCTCCTCCACATGGGCTCACCTTGGGCAGGGGGCACCAGGGGACTCCAGCATGGGGCAAGGGTCTCCCAGGAGGGTGTGAAGTGAGGCACTGACGCCCTCAGCCAGGGAGCGGAGGTTGTAGCCACCCTGGGACAAGAGTGTAAGCGGGGTCAGGAAATAACCAGACTTTACCAGGGAAGAGTAGTAGTAATACTACTCAGGTGCTGAGTAAATGTCAAGCAACAAGGAATTTAGAAGGTGACTTCATTTCGCTCGCTGGACAGTGCTATGAAGTGATTACTACTAACATTGTGCCCATTTCACATAAGGAAAGCGGAGGCACAAAGAGGTTCAGTGATTTAGGCAAGGTTGTCCAGCTGAGAAGTGCAAATGCTGGGACAGGAACTCCTGCCAGACTCGAAACCTTTGTTCTTATGTCCTCTAGGATCCACAGGCTCAGAGACCAAGTGAGTCACTCACCTCCAGAGACAGGATCAGTCTGCCTCCTGCCAGACCCATGAGCAGATGGGTTAGCTGGGCAAACCCTGCCGGAGTGGCAGCCATCTCACCCTGAGGGGATGTGAAAAGTCAGCCTGGCTCCATGTAGCCCCTTCTGCCTACCTGCCACCCCAGGGAGCCCGTCTTACCTTGGGGTCCCCTTGAAGGGCATCAAATCCAGCAGCCACCAGGACCAGCTGGGGGTGGAACTGAGTGGGGAAAGGACTACATGAGACCACCTGCCCTCACGCCCCATCCCTAACCATTGCCCTGCTCCAACACACCCCAGACCCCCAGGACCTCAAGGGCGACTGGCAGTAGGACTTGCAGGAAAGCAGCGATGTAGTCGGCATCTCGCATCCCCACCTGTAGACAGGGGCACACACTGATGAGATAGGGATGTTCTGCTCTCTGTCCCGAACCGGTGGAAGGGTTGGGGTGGGCCTCATTCTGGGGGCAACGGGTGGGCAGACACTGACCTGGTTCCAAGGCACATTGATGGTGTATCCCTGTCCCTGGCCAAAACCTGTGGTGGACCAGTTAGAGGCCTTCAGGTGGGGCCAGAACCGACCCTGCTCGTAGCGGTGGATGGAGAAATAGAGCACGCTGAAGGCAGAGAGAGCAGGGGGTTGAGGAGTCAATCCCCCCAGACAACCCCAACCCACAGCTACCAGAGTTTCCTCAACTGTTCATTCTCTCATTTTCCCAATTCTTTAATTCACACATCATGCATTCTTCCATTTATTTATCCATTACTTCACTCACTCATTCATTTCCTCTCTTACCAGAACTCTTCCCTTAGCAAAAACATTGCTGCCTGTCAGTGCTCACCCAGGTCCAGCTCCAAGACTCAGAGAGCTAGAGGGTCAATCCCAACCCCCAAGGGTTCCTGACCCTATGGGGACTCTAGATCATGCCTGCCCATCCACCTACTCCTGTGACTAAGGTGGTAACAATGAACAAACCCTGTGATGTTGGGAGGCCCACAGGGAACATGGGGCTTAAAGTCAGCAGGAGCCAGCTAAGGCTGACAAGAGCATCAGGCCAGGCTGGGGAGCTTAGTGTTTCCCCTGAAGGAAGTGGGAGTCTTAGGGGCTAGGGTTAGGGCAGGTGGGACTTGGTTGTGTGTGTGGAGCTGCAGTGGGAGTGCTAGCTAGGGCTCCATGAGGCCAGTGAGGGGGGCAGTTTCTCTTCCCAGTATCTCACAGGCCACCTCTACTACTTCTTCGATTGTATAAGTGAGAAACCGAGCACTCAGAGCAGTGAGGGGAACTGACACGCAGAACAGATACTGAAAAGACACAATGGTCCAGAAAGCCCAGCAGGTGGCTGTGGGAGGGCTTAATTCTGACTGAAGTAATCCAAATGAATAATCTCTCATCCATTCATCCATCTGTTCATCCGCTCCCTGCCTTGTTCCAGGAAGGATTTAAGGCAGCATTCTTTTCCCCTTTTTAGGGAAATGCAAGAAATAGTGGTAAGCAATTAATCTAGACAAACCTGACAGTCTCATTTTAATAAATGCTTATAATGTTGTGAAATTTAATGCAATTGTTATAAAAAGATCCTTGAAATTTAAGAAAAAATATCTTGGAATTAGGGAATGAAACCCATGTGAAAGTTTAAGGCATTGAGTAGGTGGAGGATAATTTTTTTTTGACTCTGATAAATATCAGTTCTAAAGTGTTTTTATTTACTAAGTTAACCATTAAAGGAGGAGAAATACACAGTAGAACATAAATATTATCATCAGGGAGAAGAAAGAATTAAAGAAAAGATTTAAAGAAAACCACCCCAGAAGAGAGCCACCAGAGTTAACAGAAGAACTAATACCCAGGAAACTAAGCTTATAAAGCAAATAGAAGATTTTAAAATAAGTTCAACTGACTTCCAGTGAAGGAATGGTGGATTGATAACAACAGGTTTACCTCCTCACTCTCCTATGATCCCACTCAAAAGACAGTAAAGGAATTTTAAACAAGTATCCACCCAGAAAGACAGAATGGGAGAAAGGATTCAGACAATAAGAGGTTTCAACAAATCCCTGCAAAATACTTTGAGGCTCCAGGAGCCTGCGGGGATGACCTGGGGTTTCCCTTCTAGAGAAATCAAGCACAGATTCAGGTCACTGCACACAAAATCAGTCCTGAATAGCCAACTCACCGAATGACTAATTCACTAAATTTACTTGTTTCTTTTAACTACTTAGCTTTAATTTGCCTGTTTTCCTGTTTTCATAATAGTCTTTTAAGGACTATCCAACTTATCTCTACCCCATGACCCTGTTGTTGGAGTTAAGAGACCGAGAGATGGAGAGCTGGGAGATTGAAGAGCATGGATAAATTCTTTTTCATTTATACATTCTTATTCATAAGGAAGAATGCATCCAATATATTCACAATTCCTCATATCCTTGCATATAGTCAACGATATATCCACAAAAGAACAATGCATTTATTAAAACAAAAAAAGATTAATGATATTTTAAAAATGTTATTAATTTGCTTAGGCATGCTATTATGGTTATGCTCTAAAAAATGTTCTATGTTTTAGATATATTCTGATATATTTACAGAAAAAAAGATAAGGTATCTGGGATTAACTTTGAAATAATATAAGAGGGCAACAGTGAGGGAAGGTATAGATGAAACAAGATTGTCCAATGAGTTGATAAATGTTAAAGCATTCAATTCAATAAGTCAGAAATGAACAAAATAAAAAACACAGGAAGAAATTAATTTCTTCTGATGAAAACAGAAAAAATAATGAAATATGAACAATAAACAATAAAACAGTGAAGATGGCCAAAAAAGCCAAATTCTAAATTTGAAATAAGTAAAATTGACAAACCTTTGCCAAGGCTGAGCGAAAAACAAAGAGATGTCATTCCAAGAAGATACTCTCTCTCTCTCT